TTTATGGTTTGATTTCTTTATATGTATGGATCACTTGGGTTGTTACCAACATCTGGTGAAAATTTCATGTCATTAGCWCCTCTAGTAATATATTTACTGAGAAAAATGGTGACGTGTTCAATACTTATTTTACCCGCTGTATATGAGACAAGAGGGAGTGTGCTTTGGATTGATGCAGCCTCGTTTTGTTGTATATTTAATTATAAAATTACATTCAAATCTCTGTGGTATATAGTAACTAAGCACATTTACTTTGTTATCGTACTTAAGGATTTGTAATTTTACAAAGTAGTTTTTTTTAAATCTTAACTTTTGCTTTTATTTTGTTACACTCAAAAGAAATGGTCAGAAAAACATGATCAAAATTGGAACTCAATAGTTTCACAGAAAACCAAGTTGATTCTCTTCAAAAATKTTTATTCTTCAGACGTGTAACTCCATCTCAGTGCTCTAAGCCTCTGTCTCCCAACTCCTGTCTGTTTGGCCACGAGTCCTATCAGCAAACAAAAACAACAGCACTGTGTTCGCTTTTACTAAAGATTCTACCAAGACTAAAAAAAAAACTCCGTAGTAGGTGATAAAACCCAKACATTAATYGAACACACTATTCAAGCCCTGAGTGGTACCCTTTATGTCAGCAATGGAATCTTAAACAACCTTTGTGCTACAGAGTGGGACACATTGACAGAGACTTGCTGACTCCCTCTGTTTAAAGAAAATGCCTGCAATTGARCACAAAGTGTAAAATATAAGACMGGATTTAAAATTCAGTTAATTGGTCACTAGATTTCCTTCAGTCTTACTTATGTGCTTTTGTCCAGCAGTGTAAACATATCTGTACATTTCTGATATTCCACTGCTGATGTAAGAAGGACCACTCCCAGGGGGTGTGACCAGGGTTTAACATGGTTTGAACACGTGATTCATGATCATTTGGTTGAAACCAGGGGTCTGCAACTTTTACTGTCAAAAGAGCCATTTCTGTTCCTTGGCTCACTGATAAAATGTGTCCTGAGCCCAAAAAACGTGCTACACCTGTGATTATCAACTGGTGGCCCGCGGGCCAGTTTGAGTTTGTTGAAGGGAGGCTTTTCCYGTCAGTAGGAGTGACATTATAAGACTAAAAATATATAGTGAATTGTAAAGTTTTAAAAAAATATTACTTTTACACTTAGAACAAAAAAGACATTCATGTAAAAAAGGAAAATTGCTGTAAATAAACCAAATTTAATAAAAACTACAACTGAACTATACAAGCATTTTTTTCACATTATCGTCTAGTCTAGTCTTAAAGGTAACACTGATGGATTTGAGAGAAAGATCGAACTTTAAGGCCAGAAGTTGAATTATTAAAGTGGCTAACTAGCAAGATCTAATCAACATGTGCTTAAGC